TCGAAAAAATTCCCCGTTGTGATCATTTTGTAATCACCCCCACGACACCGAAAAATCAACCCCTCCGAGGCCAGGAAACCTCCAGTTGGCTCGAAGACTTTGGTATGCTTCTGAAACACATGTTTTCGTCAAGCATATCAGGTAATAGGCCATTGGGCGCCAATTGGCATCACATATGCAATGCGCCATGCATGGGGCTTTCACGCAGGTGTTTGGAAGGTGTAACTTCTAGATAGGGCTTCCCAATTGCAAGCAAATGTGCTCCTACGATCAGAAAAGTCCGGGAATGTACTTTCATCTGTTTATTAATCGTCACGTCGTGAGTCCTCTTGTTTTATAAATTCATGGGGCCCTTGTGGGCGGTGATCGTAGCTCCTATCATCGCCCCTTCCTCGTACGTATTGTCAGTATGCTACACCAGCGCCAGAGTGCTGGACGTGCTTGGGACGTACGTAGGTACTGCGACCCCCCCCTCGACAGCAAAATTTTGTAAAAAAAACCAGAAACTTTTTGGGAAAAAATAGACAAAGTGGTAGGAGGTTGGAAAAATCTAGGGAAGAGGTAACATGGGGAGGGGGTCGTACTTGAAGATGGAATTAGGGGGGGTCGTATTTTTCAGGAAATGATCACAACGCAATGGCGTGCCCTGCTCCGCTCCACACCTGGGTTAATTTGTTCGAGGATCTGTTTTCGATGCGGATTGCCCCAATTTATAGCCGAAGAAAAAAATCGTCCGAATGCTCTTTTCACATGCTTGAAAAAATCTTGAAAAAAGGGGTTTATCAAGCAATGGTGAAACGGCAATTATACCATCAGATAGCGCAAGAAATTCTCTACAGGATGTGCTACTGAGAAGCAAGGCAGAATGAGTTTTTAATCAGCAGTGAATGTACAAAGATTAGGTGCACAAAACGCTAAGAACTTTCCGGACAACCTAATACTTTCGTTCAATCCTTCGTGTTATTTTTTGAATGCGTCAATACTACATCAGGGCGCATGAAAAAGGGTAGGCAGACATTTACAAATAAGTGGGGGTCGCTACGTGCCCACTGTCACTTCGACCGCGGTCACTAAGAATAAAAAACCAACTAAACTTAGTTGACAATGAGAGTAGAAATGGGCAAGAAGTTAACGAACCGATTTCGAGAGCTTGCTCTTCTCACCCAGTTCGCAGTAAATTTCACGAAACATATATGTACACTGGGAGTGTGGTCAGTACGACAGCCTCCTCTCCTCTAAAGTGCTCTCGAGTAGAGGGAGTATCCTGCATCTTTTCTAAACTTCGTGCACATGCACGTAGCAGGAGGGAGTCGACTTGCTACGTAGTGCTGTCCAGCGTTTGAGCGGATTGAGTCCTAATGCGAACTACACCACCTAAAAAATTAGGGCTCATCACTTGAAAGCAGGGTCATGACGCTAACTATCGAATTCTGATTTTACTTTACTGCCTCTGGAGGCGGGGGAGGTGCAGTGACAAGTGGCGCATTTACCACCTGCGCGGTCCAAATCCCAGGTCGACTCCCGCCCATGCCAACGAACGGCTTACTCTCCGGCTCACGATCGATAAACCTCGTCTGGGAGATAAGACGCCAGTTTTCCTTTGGCTGCTCAGCTGATCGGTGATTGCGCAGAGCCGATTCCCCCCCCAGACTATCCCCGCGATTCTTAAAAATGGAACTAGAATGCATGCACACGTAAAAAGTGATAAACTCGACAGTAGACAGCTTTTTCTTGATCTTTTTGACTTCCAGTCGAAGCTTCCACTGTTCTGGCGCGACCCGCAGAGTACAGGGATGTTCTTTCGACGTAACGCAGGCCACATCGTGGCGATCATGTTTCGGTCCCACTTGGCCCATTGAACGGGGGACTTGAACTGTCCAGATGATCCTCTGAGCTACTCGTGGTCTTCGAGGACGTTCCAAAGTTCTAGGTCTTCCAGAGTACAGTCCTCATATTGCAGACCGGTGGGCGTGAGCCGCGCCGCGTGTGACTCGGCTGTGATGACAGTCGCGTCACAGCCGAGTCACACGCGCCGCCCCACCGGTCTGCAATGATGAGCACCATACTTCTGCCAATATCCCTCAGAGGAAGCCGCGATTCCCACAAAACATGAAATGAAAACGGCTCAGGTGCCATTATTAGTTTAAAGTATTCTATTTTCTTTGAGCCGACTCGCGAATCGCCAAGGAATTTACAAGCGATTTTAAATTAATTATGCATTTCCTTGATTTTTTCATTTTTTATTTACATCTACATTCGTTGTTCTTCATTTCTAGCCTTTGTCATCTTCATCACCTTCTATTCGGACTTTGAAGCATGAGCAAACACCTAAAAATGTATTCGCATCAGGAAAAGTGCCTTTTTCCTATTTCCAAAGCGTAATTACAGACTTGACAGGTCCAAGAGGCCGCACGCGACCGCGCCATGGCTTTAGCATTAACGGATTTGCGCACGTAAAAAGGCAATTGGGATGAGCATGGACGAATTTAGCGTGTTTCACGTCTTGTATCAACTAGAACGATCCCATCCTACGCATGTTAGGACGGGGAAACCGCTACATTCGACACTGGAGTATCTAGCCATGCACCCCAAACTATGTTGATGCTTACCATGTGTCTTCGAAGAATCCAAGACGAATTGAAGTTGTCCCGCTAATCGAAGATGTTTTTTCGAGAATAGCGTTTCAGAAATTGAAGCCTTTATCGTTCGTTTCTTCAGTTTATTTTTCTTGATGCCATACACCTACTAAGGCCATGAAAAAGGGTGCAAACATCACAAGTACTGTCCTCATCATTACGGACTGTCGGGGCGTGTCAGCCAGTAGGAGTGCGCACACTGTTAAAGCCGTTCTCAGCCTTTTTGTTGAAACGCGTATGCGACAAAAAGTGGTAGAAAACGAGTTAATACGAGGGATATAATACGAAGGATATAATACAGTAATATCACTTGCAGGCCTTCATCAATTGGGCGGAACGATTCGCGTACCGCCGCCAACGCCCGCACTCACACGCGACAGTCCGTAATGATGAGATTGTAGATGGAGTCCAGATACGTGCCCACTGCCTTCACTTGAACGCGTGTCAGATATGAGAAATAAAAGAAACAAATTGTTAGTTGAAAATGAGAGTAGAAATTTTGCAGAGTTTTACACGCCGACATCACCAGATCTGGCAGTGGTCTTCAACGAAATATTATGTCACTGGGTGTGTCAGTACGGACAAGCCTCCTCTCCCTAAAGAGTAAAATTGTCTCGAGTAGGGCCAGTATCCTGCTTTTCAATTTCGTTGACATCCACAGACACGAGAGAATCGACTCCACGATATGCTGTGCGTGGGCGATTGATTCTAGTGCGACTACACCCGCCTAAATAATTCGGCCAACTTTGAAAGCAGGTCGTGTACGGGTGACGTGGTGACGACTATCGAATTTTGATTATTACTTACTGCCTCATGGAGGCGGGAGGTGCGAAGGACAAGTTGAAGCATTTACCAGCCTGCGCGTCCGAATTCTCAGGTCGTACTCGCGCCCTTGCCAACCAAACCTTTATCTCTCCAGGGCTATATGATCGGTACCAGACTCGTCTGGGAGAATAGAAACGCCAGTTTTCCATTGGCTGCTCAGTGATCGAGTGATGCGCAGGCATTCCCTTCAAGACTATCCCTCCGTGTTAAATGAAACCAGAATGCATGCAGCACCGTAAAAAAAGTGATACTAGACGCAGAGAGGCGTTTTTCTTCCTAATTTTTGATCCAGTGAAGCTTCCCACTGTTCTGCCGACCCGCAGAGTACTGGGATGTTCTTCGACGTACGCAGCCACATGTCGGCGATCATGTTTCGGTCCCACTTGGTCCATTGAACGAGGGACTAGAACTGTCCAGATGATCCTCTGAGCTACTCGTGGTTTTCGAGGACGTTCCAAAGTTCTAGGTCTTCCAGAGCATAACAAACCCTGTACAAGTCACACGTCAGTAAGTGGCAAGGTAGTGGTGTTAAGGCGCAAGGTTGCTCAAGTGACTCCGCCCAAGTTGATAGATGTCTTATTTACGCTCTCCTTCGTTTGCATGCTCTCTCGCTGTTTTCTCTGGCCTCTCTCCCGATATCCACATTGATTTTGTCTTTCGCGTGACACGAAAAGGGCCTTATTTGAAGCCTTCCCGACGGCTTTCTTTCCCTTTTTCTTTAGGAATAAGTCAATTAGCACATGCAGCTCTGTTTCTCAACAACGCCACCTACGATTTTTTTCGCTGGAAGTCAAGATGTACCTTTGCAGTTTGAGGTTGAAAATCGCGAGAATTTCTTCGCGACCCAATACATCACGATTCCCCGTTATTCTTCTCTCCGCCGCCGTTTATTTGTGTTGTAAAGTGACAAAGAGAAAAGCTTCATTCGCGACATAAATCAAATTGCATTAAAGAACTGTGTAAGGAATGTGGGGAGATCTGCAAGTTCTTATAGGATCAGCAACTGCTAGGGTGCTCGGGACTTCTTCTAGTAGAAATCTTCTAGCAGAATTCATCACATCCCTTACTCGACACCCGTTTGACATCTAGTCAATCTAGAAAGGTTGCTAAAAGACGAAAGAATGAGAGAAGTGACGTAAAAGTGGTGGAAAGGAAGGATCGTCAAGTCCTAACTCTTGCGAAAGACTCAAAAGCAGTACATCAAATAATCTCATCGGTATAAAAAATAGTCATCTAGAAAACATTAAAAGCTGCCAATCCATGACGAAATACGCTGAGCATATCGCGAAAGAAATATTTACAATTGAAACCCGAAAAACAATCATGAATTAAGCAACAATTGGAAAAAGCTCATTTAAACACAACAATACGGGGAGACTTAGTAGAGGAGGAGACAGAGAAGGAAGCGACATGGCAATAAGTCAATTTGTATGGCTAAATGGTAACACGTGTGAGGACTTCCACCAAAGATGGCAAGTGACTAGAATCCCGAATACAACGATCTATGACGCAGCGGAGTACCGCGCTGCACCGCTAGCCTCAGAAGTGCTGGACTGTAACCGAAATGTCGGACTCTCGATGGCGTCGGGACGGTTGGCGGTCGTCATCAATCGTCAGATTGGACGGCGATCGTTGCAGATCGCCGTGTACTGACTCAAATGAGGATTGGCTCCTGCAAAAAGGCTTATCGGAAACAAAAGAAATCGAAAAGGCTGAAAAAGATAGCTAACGCACCTCATCGACCCAGTGTAACTAGTTCTGGACTGGAATCCACTTGAAGAGGCTTTTTTCTCGCTCGCAACAGAGCCCGGAGCCGAGCCCTTCGTGCGACGCATCACCTACAAAGCGCCGCTATAAGACTTCAAATTGCAGAAATTCCTACTGAATGGGTGACCTGTAAACTGTTTGGAAGATCCTGTTCAGAGTCAAGTTGCTTGTTCTTGCTGGGATTGACTGCCTCGTCCAAACGAGCGTCCAAGAATGTCGAGAGAGTGTAGACACGATAGTGTTGGAGAAGAATAAGGCCCACACCAACAAACGTTGCGAGTAGCCCTAAATAGACAGCTAGGCTTTCGTCAGATAAACTGGAAAGTTAAAAACTCCTCTCTTTTTGTAAACTGGAAAGTTAAAAACTCCTCTCTTTTTGTTTATCCTCTGTATTTTTACTCAAGTTCCTCACATTCCTCAGTATGTCCCTTATGCGCGCACTACATCAGTTTTCTCGTTTATCTCAACACTAATGTCTTGCTGCAATCAGCTGAACATTCACCTTCATTTATGCTGGTCCCTGCTAAGTGCGAGGTGAATGTGTCCACAGTAGCAGTAGCATGTCATTTTTTCCGCTCAAAATGCCCGGGACGGTTGCAAGGTAATAATGCTCGGTGCCGTCTCCACTCCGCCGGAGCGCCGCATCGACAGCCCTACGCCCCTAACTACCAGGGCAACATCACTGTGGGATTTTAGTGACTCCATACGACCCCTCCCTTTTTTGGAGTGGTACACCCCCCCCCCCTCCAGCTCCCCTGTCCTTCATCGAAGCGGAGGGGGGGCATATAGTACGTGAAACAGGAAAATCACCAAAAGTCAACCGCCACTCCACAACGCCAAAACGTAAATACGACCCCCCCCCTCCCAAAATGATCAAATGCGAATCCTTCCTCTCCCTCCCTTCAACAAACTCCATGGAGCGAGAAAAAAAATCAACTATCAAAATAAATTTTTCTCAGCCCAAATACGACCCCCCCCTCCTGGCGACCAAATACCCCCTATTGGGGATTCCCCAACAACGATGTGCCCTGTAACTATAGCCAATCGTGCTACTTGTCTGCACCCTCTCACTTCTGATTGTACTCTGCCGCTGAACTGTGGTGTCGCTGTGGCATCGACCTATTCGCATCTTGGCGGATAGTGTGGGCGAAGTCGCGAGACAGTACCTGAGCATCAGTACAGGCCATTTGTGTGCACTTTTGAGCGGAGAAAGAAGCACGCTATTCCAGCCGCGGACCATTCACTTCGCACATGGAAAACGCTTCCCTCGAAGGTGAGTACACAGTTTGTTTTCAGGTAATCGCCGCTTGAGTGACAATAGTCTCGGATTTGGTAGTACAATCGCTTACCCACGGCACAAACGCAGTAGAAAGCCCATTGGAAACTCATTTTCATGAGAATACGATTGCCCTGTGTTCCAACAAAACCAATTTGTAGTTCACATGGAGACATGATCAGATATAGTAGACAGGCAAACAGAGCCGACAGCCCTGTGGCCAACATAGCCTAAACACAGAAATAAGTGAGGGTTCTCAAGCAATCAAATCTGAACCTACCATGCCGAAGTGGTGCGGCACAAGCAGGAGGAACACGACGGCGAGCGCCCAACATGACAGCGCAAAACTGAAATGCATACTTTGGATTTATTGAATGAAATTAGATTAGGATTTTCAAATAGACTAGAACGACCCAAGGGTTGGCGTAGGCAGGCATTACGACCGTCGAGGGACCTGATCTTCACGGCTGAGCTTACTAAAGAACGGATGAGAGTAGTAGTGGGATTGAATGGTAGAAGAGAAGTTGCAAAAGGGTTTGTCAGTGGCGAGGAAATATCAGGGGGAACGTCGGAAACACCTCCAGTAAGGTCCCTCTAGCCTTAAGCAAATGCGCAAGTTTGAAAGACCGCATAGTGGGACCACTCCAGTCAGGGGAATCCTTATAATCCCACACCTATGAAAAAACCTGTGACCAATAACCCTACAAACGATAATGGAGCGCTCGTTTCATACTGCTCGACGGTAGCATCGTTTTTCGCTAGACGCGGACTTCGAAGTCTGAGCCTAGGGGCGGAGTCACTGGAGAAGAGGAGGTGTCACTGCAAGAACTCCGCCCTTTAGAGTCTTTACCTTACAAATTCCAACTTCCTGCAGCTAAACTGGCCCAAGGTTGTCCACTACGGACCACACTACCTTTCCCACGCAAACATTTACATTTTCGTAGGACATCGCGGACCCTTCTTCTAAGTGTAGTGTAAATGCGAGACGTATAATAGCAACGAGTAGACCTGACGTAATCACCGTTCTTCTATCGGAAGAAAGCGAGCATGACATCTACGCTGGAACTATTTTTAGGGTGAATTAATGGGGAGGAACTGTGGAACCATCTATTTATCAGTATTACGCAGGCAAGGAAAGAGAAAATAGAAATGGATTGAAGTGTAACTTTGCAAGGACCGATGGCGACCACGAAAAATCAAGGTTGGTGCAAGTTTGCAATAAAAATGAAATTCGTTGTAATGGAAATGTTTCTTAGAGCATGGTGCTGAGAGCTAGCAAATAAAAACAAATCGGGCAAGAACTAAAGGAAGTGGTGGTGGAGGAGAAACGGAGCGATAAATAAATAGAGAAAAAGTGAAAATAGAAAAAGGGGGCCAGACCTTGAACTTATCTCTCGCTTGAAAGCTTCTAAGAAAACCACACCTTTTCCATAAGAAAAAATGATTTTATTGGCAGACTGGCTCCCAGATGATGCTGATATCGTTGCAACCCGCTGAGGCGGTGTGAAGAGGCATGGAATGAGCCTACCTAGGGAGTTTTCTATCATAGGCTTTTCCTTTCTGAGTCAATCATTACCCTATCCCTATTGGTAGAAAAGGCAGCCGGATGCGGGCTCATTCCAAGCCTCATCACGTTCAACTACGAAGCAAGCAGAAGAAAGGCAGAGGGTCTATAATAACCTCTGAGACAGAGGGATCTCTCCATGCACTGTAAAAAGAAGAATAAGAAAAGCAAAGTACCTGATGGCAGAATAAGTGTAGTGACCGGCTGTTCGGTAATGCCTTCCCCAATCGAAGGCATCCTGGTTGAGTGAGAAGTATTCAAGTATGCTCAGATCGGGTACGGCAGTCCGTCCGTTTGGTAGGCGATCTGCCAACTTTCGCCGGTCATAGACGACACTGCAAATAATGCAAAGATCGAAACACCGTTGTTCGGAACTACCGCATTTTCACTCTTGTTTGGACAGCCCAACTGTATACACACGTTTTTTGGGTTCAAAGGGCAAAGACGCGCAAAAAAATGAAGAAAATGAAAAAAATTTGGTTCAATATAAAAGGGGCGAGTGCCTTCTTGGATTAGTAGACTCATAGTTTTGAAAACCGTTGACGTTTGCCGTGAAGAGGAAACAGCTATGAATCGATGGAAAAGACGTTTGCCTCTACCCAGAGGGCAAGGCACCCCAGAGGACAGGGCACCACATAGTGGCGTGCGAAATCCCGAAGAAATGCGCCCCCCTCCCCTCAACCTTTCTCCTCCCATATGATCCCCTTCACAACGTCGTTTTCTCAGAAAGTTTACCGCTCTAGCTCTGTCAGCGTCTACCAGTGTCTCCCGGCGTTCACCAGCAATAGCTGGTACCCTCCTATCGTCTCGTACTCTCGCTGGTCGGTGATGGAACTGCTACACGCTTAGGACGCCAGATTGATACCTAGACTTCCCTGGTCCATAGACGCCGCTGGTCGCTGACGGACGCTGGTAGACGCTAGATCAATATCTGTACTTTTCTAGTGGCTGACGCTGCGAGACGCTATGGGTCGCTGGTTGACGCTGCCGCAAAGAATGAACGCAGCCTTAATGATTTTGGAGAACTGACTGAGGTCTGGTCGCAGTTCGATCCACCATTCATACATGTGCTCACAGTATCCTGGCGCTATTCTGCTTGGAGCGGTGGGGGCATATGTGCCCACTCCTTTTTGGCAATGATGGGCACGTTGTTACACTAATGCTACCTGTTTCTTTTTTGTGTCACCGTTACAAGGAGCGTTGGTTGCAATCAGGACTTTTTTTGTTGAGAGCAAGTGATCCAGGTTCGGTGACAAACGAATCAAACTGTTCGTCGGCTATTGGCGCAGTAAATAGTTTTTTTTTACAGTTCGCAAATGTCCGAAAACCTCGCAGTCATTGGACGGTGCAAAGGACTCGAGGTTAGGTGAGCCATACCTCATTAGTAGGGAAACCAGGTTTCGACAAAACCATGTGCCTTACCTGCCCACTAAAATGGTTCTCTCTCACCTCCTCACCAAGCCCTCCCCCCCCTCAGCCAGTTCCCTGGTATATTTGTGCCCTCCAAAACTGGATGTTAACTTTCAACAGAAGTCCCTTTCCTGACTATACAATCGTCCAGCGCTACCTTCCCATAAAAAAGAAAAGTGATTCCAGTGGCTTAAAACGGCGAGGCATTTTGTTCGTATATCACTGCCCAGTAGAAGTGCGCACAGATGCCCCCCCCAAACCAAGAAAGCATCGTATCCACCATTTCATCTTACTTACTCTTTTTCATGTCATTTTAAGACAACTGCAGAAAAGTGACCATCATCCCGAAGGCGGAAATGACATGGGAAATAATTTTACAGCGATTTTTCAAGAGAAAGTCGTAAACCTCCAGAGATGTCGAAGTTTTCATTGTAGTAAAGTCGGCTCATGTCTATCCGTGACCCTTGCTTGTCCAGTTCCACCATTTCTTCAACTGAAAATAATTGCTCGAAATTTTCTTAACAACGATGATTCTCTTATAGATGGTCCAAAACTGTCTACAGAATTCGTACATCGTAGCGTGATGTTGATGCTTCTGAGACCAACATTTACACCCACGCGAGCCCGCATTCTTTCGTTTACATGGGACCTGTAGAAACTAGTTTTGGAGCTTTTGGAAGAATCGCGAGCAACTATGGTCACCCACCTTAGTTGAGAGAGTATCCTGGCAGAGCCTCCGGTCCAGCCCGGAAGACACAATGAGGCTGAAAGCCAGTGAGTTACAACTCTTTCTTGCAACGTGTTAACCCCACTCGAAAGAGAACATAAAAGGATAAAGTATAGAATCGCAGCTGTTGAACAATCCCTTCGTGGGACGCATTCTACTTCCATTCAGAGTCGTAGCGGCTTATTAAATGCGATGTCTAGTTAGTGAAGTTTGTTACCTTCTGACTGGACATTTCCACCATCGAAACCAACGACTTATTGTACTATTACGAAACTTCGCCGTAGCCTTCTAAACGAACGCCATGGAGAGACCGACCGTGATTCGGTGCCTAAGTTCAGTGAGGTCTCCGCCACTGTAGACCACACTGTTGAGCTCCTCCCGAACAACCCAGTAATCGAGTGTTTAGAGAAGGTAGTACACTTGAGTGTTCCGTCTTCTTCAATTCACAACGCCCTTCGACTCCGAGTGGGCGAGAGTTTCCCCTAGGCCCACGATTCTACGTGTTAACACCCAATCCTGTAGCAGTGTTTCCAAGACGGTGCAGGCGACGACATGAAGGTAGCATATTCTCCTCGAGCTGTTGGATGTAACACTCAAGTCTTTCAGTCCGAGGTCCATGAAGAGAATATCGGTCTCCCCATTCCAGGAACTTCCGGCCCATACATATCATCAAACTTGCGGGCCCCCCTTTGGGGCGACCACGGTGGGAGTATCCTGGACCCGTAAGCGACAGTTTGTCGGAGATGACTCGATGTAGGAGATCACCTCAAGAGTACCGGTTCCCAGGTAGTCCATGGGTGATACGATACAAGCAGTTTCGCAGCTGTTTGGAGGTGATGTATAAAGAGTGTTCTTGTCCCTCACCAGTACAAATCTGCGTACAATTACCGTCCCAGAGGGTGAGGAGGCTTAGTTGGGCCTGGGCAGGAGATTTTACCCGAGATTTCACCACGCTAGCGGAGTGTTAAGCGTGCCCTACCAAATGCGTCTGGGAGGACAAGAACCTGTACTTGTACGTCGCATGGCCGCCAAGCCATTGTATAGGTCACATTCACATTCCAATAAACCACTCGATTCCTGAATGAAGCCCAGAATTACGAAGCCGCTTCCACAAAGGATTTGATCAACCGGCAAAGAACTCTTCATCCTTCATCCTCCTGACATCCCTCTATCCAAGAGAACATACCTGCTAGAATTGCACCTGTCAATGTTACTACCGTAATGACAGCCAATGTCACTAAGCGCTTCTCTCGAACTCCAGGTAGAATTACCAGAAAAGCCAAATATGGGATGACAAAGATGGCTGAGACCTGAATAAAGGGTTATTTGGCCCTCTTTTGCAACCAAGTACATACATGAAGTCCTGACAGTAACTCACAATGACTGCCTGAACATTAATGTCAGGCATTTCGGCGGTGGCATAGTCGGACGGTTCGGCGAAGCCACCAAACCAGCTCGTCCACATTGGTCTGAAAGGCATTTGATGTTGGAGGAAGAAGCTTTAGAAGGCGTCACATGGCGGGCGGTACGTCATTTATTGAAATTCCAGAGGTACTGACACATAATAAGCGAATCAGAAATTGACATGAATTCGTTATTGATTGCAGTCAGATTGAATGAACGAAATGAATCAGCATCTCAATTGGTGGAGTTAGTTGCGTTTAGCATTACGGCTGACAGTGACTTTGGACCCAAGTTGCCCGATATTTATTTTAGAGAAATGCGAGATCAGAGAGGTTTTCCCGGAGGACGAGAAGCGAAGAATGCCCAGAGGTACCGGTACAACGACTGATAGGTAAACATCTGCTTTGTTATGTGCGTCGGTCGGGTTCCTTGGTGCAGATCTCTCTACTATCGGAGCAGCGAGAAAGATTGACTAAATGACTTCTTTGACGTCATACAGTACGACCACTCTTACTCGAAAACATTTTAGAACGCTTCACATTAACCATCGGCCGAAGTTCAATGGCGGTTTTACTTCGACCCACCACCTACCGCCTACGCTACCCGATGAGCGCCCTTTTGGCGTATCGGTCCACAAATCTCTGACGTCTCGTTGTCTGTCGCAGTTGTCATTTTGTCACGTATATCCTTCATTTCCACAAAAACCTGTTCGTTGAAGTCGCAATTGCAGATCTTCCTAATCTCTACCGTAATAATGAAAAACAATTAAGCAGAACAAGGGCACATGGATTCCCCAACAGCGGGGGGAGTCGTACTTGGTCGCTGGAGGGGGTCTATTTGGATCAAGACAAATTTATTCTGTTAGTTGATTTTTCTTATTCCACGGACGTTGTAAAAAGAAGGGTGGGGGGAGGGTGCATTTGTTCGTTGTTGAGAGAGTCGTTATTTCCCTTCTGAGCCAGAAGGTTGCTGACTTTCTGACTTTTCATAATTTTTTTTCCTGTTTCATGTATACTACATACCCTTCCTCCGCATCGACGGCTCGATGAGGAGAGAACCGGGGGGGGGGGGGGGGTGGCGTTGTATCAACCCCCTAAAAAGGGGTGCGCACGTGACTCAACCAAAATCCCAACCCAACATTGTGGTCCGGGCGAAACCACCTTTGGGTTATTTCTGGTTTTTGAAAAAAAAACCATTTTTGAGGATCCTTAAACCTTAGTCATAGCTATTTTTTGACCAGGCGCCGTTAAACTGTACCGAAAACAACATGAAGGGTGTAAACTAGCAAACATTTGCCTAGGCCGTGATCGAATCGGAAAAGCTGGCTGTGGCCATTTGAATTTTTGTTGCGCGAAATGGCCCCTGGAAGGACTGTGAATGAAGGACAGAACAGACAAGCCTGGGAATTGTTGAATGGAATAGAAAGAGTGGAAAATACGAGAAGTGTCGAGTGCGATTGGAATGTGCTTGGCGGCAAAGTTTCAAGTTACGCGCATAAGTTTCATCAAGATAACGAACTTCCAAGGACACACACCAGGTGCTTTAGCATATTACACGAGAGGTAACTCTACGAAGGAATGTGCTTCTCAATGACATAAACAGCTGTTGGAAGAAACGCCATCATACCTATGGACGGACTAACTTCGACTAAATGTTCTGACGCGTTTGAAGAGTAGAAGCTTCATTGAACAATGCATGTCGAGGACTGAACAGATGATTGGAGATGTGGCAACCATGAAAGGAGGCAAATTTCACTGACAGCATGTGAGAAACGAGAACGAACTCGTCACCTCACATATGAAAAACCTCACCAGAAAAGCTCTTCGGAATGAGGGAAAACGAGTTGCCCTCTGGAAATGAAGTTTACACTATCAAGTAAAAAAAGGAGAACAAAAACGCGTCAAGCTAGCATTGTAGCATAAAAACAAAATGACATCAAATGACTTGTGGGAGGCGTTCAAGAAAGAAAGTTTGTTGAAATATTGTCAAACAGAGCTCTTCCGGTGCCTTATATTGACAGCTGATAGTGGAGTTTATTAGTTGGCCCAAGTGGGTCAACTGCCTGAGTCACAGTAAATAAACAAAGCAAACTGTTTTGCAAAAGCTTTGCAGAAGTTCTGAGATTATTATCAGAACGATCCATGCAGGAATCGATGACTGTTCAGACCTGATCGCAGTTAGCCACCAGCATAGTATCAGAGCCGAGGGGCGCGTGCATGACTGGTCTGGATGTGGTCTCTGCCCTGTCCACAAGTGGAAAGAAACATGTCCACAGTGACAGAGAAATGGTGGCCATCAAATGGACGAAGCGAAGGTCTACTGAAATGCGTGGCCGTTCCGGTAGCAAAGACCAGCTTTAGCGGACGTGGATGTGTCCGCCGCTCATAAGTATATCCGTAACGAATGTAACGATGAATGCCAAGTGCGCTTACTGGTCTTGGGACGGCATTCCACTAAATCTGCGCCCCCGCGGCTGAAAGCGATAATCAAGAAGATATTACACTGTTATTCTGACCTCTGCGAGATGAGACCGCAGAAGCCGGTTCGCCGTCGTCGTCGTGTAGTCGCGTATCAGAGAAATCCCACTGATTCGAACCGAA